CCCCAAAACCCCAAAACCCCAAAACCCCAAAACCCCAAAACCCCAGGAGATTGTAAATTTACTATAATTTGAACTTAAATTCAAATAATAATTATATATTTCAACTATAATGTTTAATGACAACAAAGCAGGTAACAGAAGCAATTCAGTATAAAAGCCAGTTAATTATATTAACACTTGAGAATAATCAGCCTATGGAATAGAGCAAATGTTTCCCTCTCTAGTATAAAACAACGCACCGTTTACTGAAATCTAAGGCTATCATGCTGGAATTTCTACTGCCCCTAAACTTACACCTCAGCTGTCTTTTGAGATAAACCAAAATGACACTTTCTTGATGATCCTAGCTGAACTCAAAGAGTTAAATATGAACATTCTCAACATGCAAAGGATCTAGCAGCAATAATGCATAGGTCTGGCTAATATAAGCTAGTCTATCTAGTAGCAGCAGACTTGCATGCAGTGTAACTAGTTTACCTCTGATACTTAATCTTGCTGCTTTTGCTATAAGCGAATGTGCTAATACTGCTAAAGGAATAACAAAGTAGGCTATCACAATTGTAACGAATGCAAAATACTCTATTGTTCTTCACATTAAAGTCAATGTCTCAAGTGCTCCATGTTCTATTGCACTAAGTGCAGTCCTAAATTATAAACCACAGGGATATGTGCTTAATGCTTGAACAGTTAATAACCTATCGTCTAAGTTTCATACAATGACAATAGGACTTATCAAACAGTAAACTCTTAGTCTAGAAATATTTATAGCTAGAATATGGACTTTTAAATTGGCTTTAACGACTAAGTTAATCAATCTTTCAACTCAGGCTAATAATCTCAGAAAGATTCAATGCTAAACTTATCCTAGTCAAAGTTTTATAAGCCTTAAGGTACTATGCTTAACCTATCAAATTGAGTCCTTAAAAACAAAAAGTAAATACAAAAAGGATAATCAGAATAAATGAATGAGTCTTCACTCTAGATGGCACAATAATAATAAAATCAATAGCAAAATAAAGCTAACAATGCGCTAGTTCAAAATGCATTAGAAAATAAGCTCTAAAATAAGTCTTAAATTACAATACCTAAGTCTGATCCAAATATTAATATCTGTTATAACAGAACTTAAAACTAAAAATGCTAGAATGAAAAGATCCAATCATATTTCACTTGTAATTTTTGTCAATAAAAATTCTGTGACCTCTGTAGGAAAATATGCGGGTGGTGTCGCATTCCAGTATGTTCTAACTGTGCAATGTATGCTAAAAACTACACAGCAAATGAAGGCAACTTGAACTTCATGTGCTGTCCTAATTGTGTAGTTAAATGCACATCATGCTAAGTTTCTCATACCAAAGCTTATGTCTTGCTGAGTTGTAAGCGATGCAAAAATAAGATATGCAACGACTGCCAAAGTTCTTGCTAAGAGTGTAAGTGATCTGAGCACTGCACAGAATGTCTCTTTAATTGCGAACAATGCAATAAGACTCTTTGCTTTACTTGCAAAAAACAATGCTTTAAATGCCAGAAAGCGGTATGCAAGGGATGCTGTTCCTTATCATGCGAAAACTGTAAAACTGTTGTTTGCATCCAGGATGATTAAAAAGCAAATAGAGTTCCATGTGTAAAATGCAATAAAGAGTTCTGCTCATATTGCATGCAGCTAAAAAATATTTCGAAGTGCAAAAATTGTGATCAATTCTTTGGGATGTGCAATGATTGTCATATCTTGGAGCCTGAGGGGATATAGAATCAGTTTTACCAGTGTTAAATTTGCAATAAGAAATTGTGTTTAGATTGTAAGTTAAATCAAAAGATATGTACTGAATGCATTACGTATGCAGAGGAGTAAAAATCAGGACGTATCAATCAGTGAATAGAATTAGATATTTTCACAACAATATTTGGTCTTCAAAAAATTATGAAATATGCTTAATCTTAATTTCATGATTCAAAACTAAATTTGAACTAGTGGGGTTTTGGGGTTTTGGGG